GTAGCTACTCGTTACGACCCAATGTATGGGGATCCTTCGCTTAAAATCTAAGCAAAGAAGGGCTTTGTGCTCTTCTTTCCTTCTGAGCAATCGTGTTTCGCCTGGGGTATGTGGTGCGTTTCCCGACATGACAAGGATTGGACTTGAATCAGAGGAGGGAAAAGTGGTGAGCCAGGCCACTCCGATGTTTGAGATCTCCGATCTACCTGCTTCACCTGAAAAGAATGCCCGGGCATGATGGCTGTATTCGGGGCAACTTTTAGTATGCACACAGCGTGTTTCACCTAGGTTATGTTGTCCGTCGCCAGAAATGACAAGTATTGCACTCGAATCGGAGAAGGGGAATGTGGTGAACCACGCCACTCCGAGGTTTGAGATCTCCGAACTACCGTCTTCACCTGAAAAGAACGCCTGGGCATATAGCGATAATGACCAGGTGTTCTATTTGGTGAAGAAGGCGGCCACACTGTGACCTGGTGTTTTATTCGGTGAAGAAGGCAGCCACACTGTCAGAATGTACACGTACTGCGTAGAAGGCCAAGGACTGGTTATAGACCAGGCAGTCTTCTCCACGCAGGCCCATTCTGACGAAACTGAGGAAGCTGGAGACTCCCAAACGAAAACAGGACCGTCTCAGTGTCCTTCCCACGAGAAAGGGTGGGTGGATGGATGGGGCATGAATGGGCTCGCTTAAGAGGGTGAGCACAACTTTGCCTGTAATTGCAGGGCTTGTTTTACTAAGTGCAAACAATCTCTCAAGGTGTTTGAGAGAGGTGATCGGCAGCAGCTTGAAAAGAGAGTTCCTTAAGGAGAAGCACCTGCGAGCTACAGAAAGCTGCGAAGGAGTGTTGATTGTGGCACGTGTTGATGTCTGTTTCTGATTTGGTCTCGAATTGTGCTTTAGTCGGTTTGTTCACCTGTCTGGTGTTCACAGCTCATACAAATCATCTGATGGAAAGCTATGATCAGTTTTTGAAGATGAATTCAGAGAACCAGATTTCACTGGTCCATCCAGAAACAGTGGAACAATGGATGCCCTCTTTCTGAGGCCGCAGGAATAGAACTCGCTTCCGATAGCAATGACAATACAATAGTGATGACAGAGATTAGTGGCTGAGAACCATCCCTGAAAGGGGTTGCCATGTTTTTCAGACTGTAACAACAAGTCGAACACTCGACATATATAAATCTATGATTCCAACTGACAGTCTACGAGTGGAAGGGCCGTCGCTCAACGGATAAAAGTTACTCTAGGGATAACAGGCTGATCTTCCCCAAGAGTTCACATCGACGGGAAGGTTTGGCACCTCAAATCGGGGCAATCGTCCAG